CGAGAAGTGCTAGGGCAGAGTTTAATGGTTAAAATTATTGGGGTTAACTTGAATTTGTTTGCAGTGCACAATCATACTGACACAAATTGTATTAAAAAAGAAAGTTGCCTCTTGTTTACAAATTAATTTTTCTGAAGCAGCTTCAGTCAGCTTGCTTGTTGTCAGTATTTTAATGGGATTGGTTTGTGCCAAAGCAATTTAATGTGAATAGTTTTTCAACTTTGTTGACCCGAGAGATGCATAAAACTATTTTCTCGACTCAGGAAATTTTTGTTAGATCGATTACCATTCCCAGAAAAGTAAAATGTGAAAAAAGTATTGAAAGTATGCCAGGAAAATGAAAAGAAAATCATTATTTTATTACAATTGTACTCGTGAAAATTAATTTGTTGCCTATTATTTTAAGTAGCAAAAACAATAAAAAATATTGTTTAATTACTTCTTTTAAATGTTAGTTTTGCTGTCATTTTGATTTTGAACCGCGGAACTCCGAAAAGAAGTGAATAGAAAATCGGGGTTCTGCAGGATTCTGGAAGTTGCAAGACTACTAGTCTTGTAACTTCCAGACTTCTTCTATGTCAGGAGCTTCTATTACAAACTTCCAACTATGTCAGGGGCGGAATACCTTAGAGGCTAACCGAGGCTGTAAAGCTCGTTCGGGCGCCAGTCTCAAATATGCATAAAAGGTTTTAATTTAGTCTGGATGCGCATGAATCGTGAAACTACGAGAGGAATTCATTGAAAACTCGAATTTCCCCAAAACTCAGTTTCAAGACTACGTTCTCTGCATCGATGTTTCTGTTATTCGAAATTATTGAATAAGTAATCCTTTCCTGATGCTTAGTACTAAAAGCATTATACACGACTTTTGCTGGAGGGGGGGGAGTCATCTTTCATACTTTCAAAAAAAAAGTTTGAAAGGTTTCAGATTTTAAATTGCGTCCAAAGGGGCGTTTTTTTAACATCTTGTATGTTACCCTTATTTATTAAATACCATGCTCTTCGCACCTAAAGCATAAAATCGAGTTCAAGAGCAATATCGCAAAATAATTTTAAATTAAGAATATCTTTAGAATTTCCGATACACAGTCTCGCGCGCTGGAGATAAAAAATTTTTCTCTGTACAATGTTGTCATTGCTCGCTTTGAAAACCTTGATTTTATTAATCAAAATTTCGTTAAAGTTTTACAAAATACGAAATTGATAATAAAACGAATTTCAAATGTGGGCTTTCAGATGCCCATATTCGCAGTAGGATTACGTCATTCAAAATTGAATGGCTCTAGGTACCGTTGTTTTATCACAATGCGAGAAACATACATGCATTTATACAGATTCTTCATTATTTAATTTCTTCAAATATAATATAGGGCGATAATATTTGGTGGCAACAGTTTGAAAAGTGAAACGGACATTCAGAGTAATTCGACGCAAAATCGCAAAATGAAAACAGTTCCTCAGGAACCCTTATTTATTAAATAAGGGTTCCTGAGGAACAAAGTCCCTCAGGAACAAAGCCGCTTTAGACTAAAAAAAGGAAAACAATTTCATTTGACCTTCTGATATCATAACATTGTCTCAAGAGTTATTCATCGATTAACAAAACTTATCGACTAAGTTCATGCATGGAACAATCCCGGAATTTTATCTGCACATGAGTCCAAATACAATGAGAACAATTTGCATTTGTAGAACTTTTAATTTTCGCTGCATCTCAGCTATGAGTTTGTTTTATTTTGATTGTTTTCATGCCTCATTTTATGCATAATTTAGCTCCACAAACTGAAGCCTCAGCGTAAAACAGATTAGAGTCCGTTAATGTAAGAGGAGGATGGGAACATCCTTGAGTTGATGATTTTTCTCACGTAGCGTTGATGAAATTGATAAAGATTTATAAGCTTTATCTGTGCGTTAAAGCTCAAAGTTAAGATTTAATTTATTTAGTAAGAGAATTTTCAGCCATAAATTTCAGTTGCATTATACGTATTTATTGATAATTTACCTTGCTTGTTAGGTAACGTCGAAATCAAGAAGTAGCCAAGGTGAATTGAGTTTTCAGAAATTCTTAGATTATTATTCGAAAACTGATACTTTATTAGTGGTTTCTATTACCTAGCGATCTTTTTCCCGTGTACGGATTCGAATTAGAAATGAATTCTTCTTGTAGGGTTTCAAATAAATAGTGTAAAAAATATTAAAAAAATTATCATATTTTGTTACATTTAAATAGAATAAACTTGCAAATTACAGCACTTCACATCATTACGCCCACCAACATATCGGTAAGATGGATCATAACGAATATCTTACCTTTCATGCTGTAATGAATTATTTATATCAATAACTTTTTTTGGAACATGACTGATTCGAAACGAATTGGGTTTTACTTACATGCTTGGAAATACGAGTTTACACTAAGTCAGTAGCAGCGCACTTAAGCAGGAAAACATGACAGAAAGAATGATTCGTTCATTCATTATACGGCTGTAATCGTATACGTAAGCTAATTAAATCTGGTAAGAGTTTACAGTGTTATATATTGTTACGAATTTGCTATTTAAAAAACTAATGTTAGTTCAATTATAAATTAAATGGTTTTATTTCTCGCGCAGTACAGCGCGTGACGAATATTAAAAGAAAGCTAAGCCGGAAAATTGAAAATACAAGAGCGCGTGCATTAAATAAATAAATATCTCTTTTTGATTTCGAGGAAGTACTGGAAAATTCTAGCGCGTGATTTTAAAATCTTATAAAAGGAGGAAACATCTCAGTTCGTGGTAGTTGCTGCTTAGTTTGTTGTTTTTTGAAAAACTGCTCTTGTTGATTGTAGCGAATTCGCGGATTAGCTTTCTTTAGCTGTTTTGAATTACGTTCTATTGGACATTTGAGTAGTTAAAAGATAAATACTGTGAGATATTGTAATACTGCATCATAACTTGAGAAAATTTAAGCATTTTGTTGTGATAATAATAAATTTTGTTCATTTTTCATCGGACTTGTGCATTCTTTTCGTAACGAACCCGTACGCACGCAACAATATTATTGTTTTTCACTGCATTTTAATAAAAAAGTAATCTGATGTGTATAGCACATGACCTTCCTTGTACATCCTATTAAATTATGTACATTTTTTGCTGCACTTCATTTGAAACGTATTGTTTCGAAATTCATTAGATATATCTTTTTCATTCTATGAATTCAGTTCTCACTTCGAGGCAACGCAAAAATACATAAAACTCAAAACGTCGTCATTAAAAAGTGTAAACTGCAGAAAACCAAAGCACCAAATACAGTTAAAATATAATTTTTTTTAAGAATAAATTTGGAGTTTTTACGCAAACACAAGCAATTCGACCCGCGGGCAGGAAGACAAAATTTTCGGTGCACAAAACTGATTAATAAAAAGTTAACTTTTAGTTCCCCCGGGTAAAAAGGACCTGAAATTCGTGCACCAACAGCATGTAACTGTAGTAAGTGTTGTTATTTTAAAGCTTTTGTTAAAAATAGAAGTTTACATATGCTTATTGAATTGGAATTTTGTATTGTAAATCATTCGAGTGCCACTGAGATGGTTTAAAAAATGGAAATTTTGCTTTTATTAAATTATTATTATTATTATTATTACTGTTACTACAGAAATCACTCACCAAATCTTTTCTGTCTTACTTATACCTGGCTATTATTATGTCTGTTTGACTGTTATTCATTTGACAATGAAAATGACTACATAAGATGTTAAAATGATGATGAATAAATATTTTCACCACTTTATTTTTTCATTCTCTAAAGAATTATTTATTTTAAAAATATTATTTACTCCCATTTGGGGGGGGGTATTTGAGTAATTTATATCGCAAACAACTAAATTTCAGTAACGAAATATAAATATATTTTACTCTGTATTCAAGTGTACTTTTGCATTTTCAACTGCAAATATTTATTAAACTAGAAGAAATAATATTTAATTTAAAGTTCTCTTGAGATGTTTTTTAATGCATCGAAAGGAGTGAAATCTAATTACAGAAGATTATAAAGTCATAAGGAGAGAAGAGGATTAGTAGGCAATTAGTCTTGCCTATATTAAGGAATTATTTTATAAGGAAAAAATTGTTTCTAGTAATGGAAGTAAGATTGCAATATTATGTTTTGTTTGTTTTATATTTTATCTGGATAAATGTAATGGATATGAGTTTTCGTCGTTTTCATTCAGAATCGCCGTTCACAAATTTATTATCATACATTAGCTATTACATTTTACGTAATCGTCACTTTCCTTTAGAATAAAACATCAGTTATGCAGTCACCATACACGGTGTATTCTCGGCTTGTGCAGACTGCATAAATTTCACAAAATCGGAGAAGTTCATGAAAGTACATGAAAATTAACGTTAAATGTTTAATGGTACAAGTGATGAACCGTTCTTGCAAAATATAGCATTGCTTATTCATCAGAGAATAGCAAAACATTTGAAATTTAAATATACATTAAGCTTCGGGATCAACTTTGCAGTTCATAAAAGCAGATAATCGTATTTCAGGCTGTCGTATAACCTATAAATTATTTTCAGAATGTGAATATTGAAAATCTCGTAATGAAATATGAATATCGCGTGATGAAATGAATATCGAAATTTTCGATAAAAGGTGCATGTACTTGAACAAGTTGCCAAATTAGTGGACTTCCGAGAACATGAAAGGTAGAAGAACTTGCTAATCCCCTCGAGTCATGGTGTATTTTTCAGGGGGTTAGTTGACTTTCCCCCTTGGAAGATCACTGCGGGGTGTCAGCCGAGTCCATAAACTACCGAGATTGGTCGACCCCAGTAAACCGCAGGGACCCCTGAATCCCGCTAATGCCTAATTAACGTGGGACTAGCCTCCCGTGGGGTCGTTTCTTGTTCTGGACCGAATGGCGTTCTGTTTCGCAGCGCCCCCTTTGGCTTTTAGGGTACTTATTATTTCTGTTCCGTCTCAAATGTTGCTTCCCACTCTCGTTTCAGACCTTCCCACTGCTGGTCTACAAATTAAGGTCTTTCCAAGGATGCACCCGAAATAAGGACTATGGAAGTATGGAAAGGAACCAACATCACAGGTAAGCCTCCTTGCTTTCTTTTGTTGTTCTAAATATAGAACTTAATAATAATAATATTCGGGCATGCAAGTATTACTTAGACATTAAAAATATGTCTTTGTTTCTGAAATTTTATATTTCACGTGTTATTTTTGCACGAAGACTGCAGTTTCTACTTCTTTTGAAGGTAAATCATTCAAAAATAATTCCCTCCCCCATTGTTTCTATAGGCTGTTAGGTCACAGAACGAATATCTTGGCAAAAATTTTGCAATGATGACTATTATTCAGTGTCGGATTGATTTAAAGCCTTTTTTGCTTTGAAAGATACAGAAAGAGTAAATACAGTTCATCCGAGTAAAAACTGAATACAAGAAAGAATATTGGACGTATATTTGAACGAAATTATTTTTAAGTTGTTTAATCTTTTTCTGAAGGCGTCCGCCGATAGGGCGTACTGGTATAGCAGTTCTCATTTCTTATGCTTATTATATTATGGGCTCAACAAAGTCGCAGCTAGGATTTTCAGCGCCCAGGGACAACTGAAGATTTCGCGCCCCCTACTGCTTGCCAAGGATGGAAAACATTTAATTCTAAAATGTCGTAAGCAGTTAATTGCGTAACTGACTAAATGATTTGTGGGGGAAATTGCTAGGGCATGAAATGTATAGTTTCGAACCTTTGAAGTATTTTGAGCTTTCCACAAACGTTGCCCGCAGTGATTCCTTTTTTATGCATTTCTGAAAGTATAATTTTTGAAATATTTTATGTTGTCCCTGAGTTATTCTTAATAAATAGATAGACTGCCTACAAATTCTCAGGACTAAGTAGTACATACGTTCAGACGCCTGCTTGAATCTTTAAGAATACTGTTGCGGTTTTCTAAATCTCTTCAGTGTTATTAACGTAATGAGATGGCGGGATTTCACTTTAGAGAAAGGGAATAATCTGCAGGTGGCAAATCTGCTGAATGACAGAAGTTGAGATCTGTGACATTTTTCCGTTCTAAAAACTGCTGAACGAAAATGAAATTGTGCAATGGCGCACTGTGGTGTAGGAGAAATCAGTTATTCAGGTGAACTTTATCTGAAGTGCATCCATTACAGCTTTATAAAATATGTAGTTCGCCATGTATCCCTCAGGAACTATCTAATTCATTTTTAATCAATAAAGGTCACCACCATAGTTTTTACTGCAGATTTCTGAAACCAGAGTTTCTTTATCCGTGGTGAAACTTTCGCAGCCTGATCAGATAAATGGCATTTTGTCTTAGGACCATAAGCAAAGAACCACTTTCTGCAGTCACAATTTGTTTGAAAAAATAAGGATTAATATCAGCTAGTTGAATCGGTGTCCGCCGATAACATCGCGGCAAAAACATCGCGGACGAAAACGTCGCGGAGAAAACAACGCAAGGCGAAAACGTCGTGCTACAAAACATCGCAAAGAGAAAACATCGCAGTTCTAAAACATCGTGGTACAAAACATCGCCGTCGAAAATAAAGCGGTTCAAAAACTTCGCAGTTTAAAAACATCATCGTCGAAAATATGGTGGTAAAAAATAAAGTATCTACAAATCATCGCATCACGATAACATCAAAAATATACTTTTTTTCAGGTTTTAATAATTGTAAATGGATATTCCCATAATGATTTATGAGCGCAAGGTGTAAAGAAGTATAATTTTTAATTTCGCATTTTTTTATTAACTAATAAATTTTTGCTGAATAAGTAAGAAGGAAACTTAAGCATAGAAAATTAAATGCAACTTACAGATTATACTTTTCATGAAAAATTACCAGTAAAACTTTATAAAAATGATTTATTAATGGCCTTTGTTAGTTAATAATGTCGGTTTAAAATTTTATTAAGTGCTATAAGTTGCATTAATTTTCTATGCTTAAGTTTCCTTTTTATTTTCTCAGCAAAAATTTATTAATTAATAAAAAATATGGAAGTAAAAATTATCCTTCATTCCATCTTGCGCTCACAAATCACTATGGGAATATCCATTTACAGTTACTAAGCATGTCTGCGATGTTATCGTCATGCGATGATTTGTAGATACTTTATTTTTTACCACGATATTTTCGACGACGATGTTTTTAAACTGCGAAGTTTTTGAACCTCTTTATTTTGGACGACGATGTTTTGTACCACGATGTTTTAGAACTGCGATGTTTTCTCTTTGCGATGTTTTCTCCAGCGATGTTTTGTAGCACGACGTTTTCGCCTTGCGTTGTTTTCTCCGCGACGTTTTCGTCTGCGATGTTTTTGCCGCGATGTTTTTGGCTGTAACCAGTTGAATCAAATCATGACTGAATTCGACTCCTTTCTGTTCTGTTATCAATGCGTGAAGGGCTAAACGCTTCTTTCTTTTGGCTTATTCCGCTACGGTTTTTGTGAACATTGTCTTTACTTAGGTGAAAACGACTGGTCGAAAAGATTGGTGAAGATTTTTCAGCAACAACTGTCGACCTTTTTCTATGTTTTCCTACCATCGTGACTGCGAAGTGCGATGGTATCTGGGTTTAACATCGATGTCTCTGCATCCATTACGAAATCGTCTGTACCAAAGAACAACTTTGAACCATGTTAATGTTTGATTCCTGTATTAACAACTGAAATGTGTGCTGTACTGTTATCCCCACTTTGTAGCAAAACTTTATAGCTATTTTAACTATTTGCTCAGCTTTCGAATCTGTGATAGCAAATATGCACTGGATCAAAACAACAATTAACTGCATAGAACATTCTATCCGTTTTTGGAAGACATTTTAGATAAAGCAGCCTGAGATATCAATGCTGTCAATTGCCGTTTAGGGGATTTTCTGTTTAGCAAGTTTGCTTCAGTTTGTTTGAAAAAAAAAAAAAAAAAAAAAAAAACGAAATCGTGAAACTTTGTGGATGTACTTTCTGACGTAATATTATCCAATATGATTCCTAATTCTTTTGTGTTTATATTCAGGGCTGGATTTAAACTTGATAAGTCCCTAAGCTATTTGAGATATGGGGCTCTTTATATAAGTCCAGATATTATACCCCCGTCAGTGCCAAATATGATTTTGAGGGGCCTTAAGCTATAATTTGTGTTGCTGATACGTAAATCCTGCACTGTTTATATTGTTGGATGTAAATATGCGTCATCTTTAATACCTCTCTGTATAAATGTCATTTTGCTTAGGTTGATATTCTGCAGGTAGTTTTTATTAGATATTTATATGGTTTACAAGCAGCTATGTGTGAAACTCTGCCAATATGAAACACTGCTTGACATCTTCGTTCCTCGTGTTTGAAAATTTTGTATGTGCTTGCCTCAGACCGAACACGTATTTCTGTAAAGTTTAATAGCTCTGAAATATAGTGTGTCGTTTACTAATATTACAAACCATATATTGTAGTAGTACTTAATGAGAGTTAGTGACGCAGTGTTCCTTGCAGATTCAGAGATAGTAATGCACTTTTTTTCTCTCGCAAATTGCTTTCGCTGTAGAGGTATGAAAAAGGACCACTTTTTGTCATATATGGACTCAGATTTATAAATTAAGGGGGCTCATACACCTTAAACACCTTATGAGCTTCGAATTATGTGACTGTTGCAAGAATTGAGATATTTTACTTATTTTAAAAGTAATTACCTCCACCTTTTTACAGCTGACTACATAATATAGCTGCTTTGGAAACTAGTAACCAGAAAGTTTCTGTTGCCACAAATATTTTTGTAATTTAATCCGCTTTGTGATAAAACTTTTCGTCATTTTTCCATCTTGCGCGCATGATATTTTAAAAATGGCTAATGGTACATACTTGAAATTGGATGGAATTCTTTATATGGGCACTATTTTCTAACTGAACCAAAAATCTGATGAATATCTTAATATTAAAAAAATTTATGCACGAAAACATTACAGATTTTTTTTAATAAAATACATTTTATAAACTCAACTCCAAATAAAATAAAAATTTAACTTGAAATTCTCAGTTTTTTTTGGTTTACAGTAGTTTCCAAATGTTATAAAAGCTATATATAAAATATGGAATTAAATAATGCAACAGATAATTTTAAACTGTACGCGCAAGGTGGAAACATGACGAAAATATTTGCCACAAACCGAATTAAATTATAAAAATATTTGTGGCAACACAACCTTTCTGATTACGATTTCAGAAAGCAGCTATATTATGTAGCCATCCATAAAAAGTTGGAAGTAATTGCTTTTAAAATAAATAAGTTATCCCAATTCTTGCAACAGCCACATATTCGAAAATCATAAGGGGTTTAAGGTGTATGAGTCCCCTTAAGCTTTTTCACTTTCTGAGATGTATCGCATTTATTTGAATATAAAGCCTCTTTATTTCCCCTATATTTTTTTCTAGAATTTAGAAGGGTCTTGTAATTGGGTGTTTTAATTAAATGAAATTACAGAATGAGAGAAATTAGTTTAATTATCATGCCGTATAAAATAATTGCATTGTATAAATCCTAAGTAAGTCGCAGAGGTAATTAATTACCTTATATAAAAACTGTATAACTGTCGTTAATTATGATAATTACGTCTAGTTGAGCGATTGGCATGCACTATACTGATTATTGGTATGCCAGAAAACAAAAAGCTAATAATATGTCATGAATTTTTCTTTCTACAGCATATACAAAATATGATATTTAATTAGGTAGCCTGCCTTTCATTTTAACCAGAACAATACCGTCATCAAATACTCAGATCCATAAACTGCCGAGCCCTAACGTCGCTGAACACTGGTAGTTTGAATTCCGGCGAAACAGCTGGCTGTATGGTTCATTTTCGTGGTTTTTTCCCTGTGTAACGTGGATAGAAGCCAGTTTCCCATAAAAACTTCTCCACGAAGGCACCTTTCCCAAAGGCAGAGGCCAACCAGCGGCCGAGCGGTAAAGACGCTTAACAATGGTAGTTCGGTGCGAGGTTCGAATTCCGCGAACGGGCTGGCTGCAGGAGCGTTTTCGTGGTTTTTCCCATGTGTAACGTGTATACGAGTTAGTTT